CCTTGTGGTGATATTTTGCTGGATTTCTTAGGTGTTTTATGGCTACACTCCCCTCCAGATTAAACACCACTCTGCACAGAAGGATTAGATTTTGTGCACATGTTGACCTGAAAAGGACACACCATAGGTCCCCTATTAAACTGGAAGTCTAATTTGGGTTTAATATTCCCTGGAGTGTGTACATTGAAATACAGCTTCAGTGACTGTATCTTGTTTTAAAGTAGACTCATAAAGTATGGAAGCTTCCAGAAGTGGCAATTCATTTCCCCCTTCTTTTTTCTTTTGGTGGTGTGGTCAAGGTCCAAGAGTTACACACTAAAAAAGAGGTCAACACATCACCTTTGGGTTTCCCACTGCTTCACTAAAACCATCTTCACCCACAGAGAGTGAGCTATGTTTTTATTTTATGAAAAATAATCAGACTTTCTGCATTTTTTGCGCCATAAATGGCATATCAGCTTGGTAGCACATGATCCCAACACTGCCATATGTGCTTCCAAGTCAACTCTGACTTGTGGCAACCCTTTTCAGGACTTCCAGGTAGAGAGTGTTCAGAAGTGGTTTACTATTCCCTTCTTCTTGGGGCACCCTTGGACTGCACAGCTTGCCCAAGGCCACACAGGCTGGCACCTCCAGGATATGGAATTGAACTCCCAGCCTCTGCTTCTGCAGTCAGATACCTAATTCACTGAGCTATCCAGCTGGCTGATTACTATTCATACAACATGCAATAAAAGGGAAGGAAGAAATCATGTCATGGATATAAAAGTATATGAAATATACATGAAGATCTGGGCAAGAGAACCTTTACTATTCAAGTACCTCTTCTTTTTGGGTTTCATGTGATCTCTGTACAAACCATATCACTTTCGCTTGCAAGGTTCTTGGGATACACTCAAGTAGAGTACTGTTGTATTCTATTCCATATACCAGTCGCTCTTCAGTCCTATCCAAGGTTTCTCCTGCAAAGGTAAAACAAAACACAACAAAATACAAAACTGCCTTCCGCACTGAAGTAGCTCCACATCAGCAATGTGGAGAATTCTTCCTAAGTTATTCTTTTGTACCTGAGACAGCTTGTCTGTACACGTCAAGAGAATTTGTGGAGGATTCAGAAATACCAACAAGAACTGTTGTCTCCAACAAAAGAGTGAAGACAACAAGCATTCAGCCCCCATAGACTTCTGTGTGAAAGGTTTTTGCACAAAACTAGTGTCACAACAAGCACAGAGGGTTGGTTGGTTGATCCAAAAGATGTAAACAAGCCATCCAAGGTTTCTACTTTTTGAAAATTCATGTAACTTGCAAACTACTTTCGTGATTTTGCAGTCAAACCATAAATGCTCCTAGAATACTCCTTATAAGCAGGCAAAAACTGGGAAATGCTAGATTTCCTTGACATCCAGCAGCTTGAATCCCTATTTAGAATAAAAAGTTAGAAAAGGAAGGTGAATTCTATTAGTAAATTTGCAATCATTTTCTGGACAAAATACTTTTAAATTTAGTATACCCAAACAGCACTTTGATATATTTTCTCTTCCTATATTGGTAAAATTATCTTAGATTTCTAAAAGGGGCAAACAAACAAACAAACAAATTTTCTTTTTTTTTTCTTTTTCTTTTTCTTTATTTTTTTCTTTATCTTTTTAGGGAATTTGGTTTGCTAAATATCCTACTGGTGTGGATGTTGGTTTCCTCCTATGGCTTCAAACATTTCTGACATAAATATCTTACTGGTGTGGATGTTGGGTTCCTCCTATGGCTTCAAACATTTCTGACAATTTTATGTCTCTATAGAAAGATGATTGGTACACCTTAGTTCTATAATACTTAGCATGTCAGGACTCTTAGACCCAAAATCTCTTTGGCTGATAGCCTGCTGCTTGGAGCAGTAAGTTGCACTAGAGTAGGTTCACTGAATCAGTGGGAATTTGGTGAGTTGACTCCTCCATAAATTCTACTAATTCAAATGGGCCCAGCCTAGTTGTGACTTTAGCACAGGTCTGTTTCAGACTTTGTTTCCCTGACATTGCCTTCATTAGGTCTGTGATTGCAATGTCTTCTTGAATGGTAACAGGAGGATGGGCAACAGTAAGTTACACTAGAGTAGGTTCACTGAATCAGTGGGAATTTGGTGAGTTGACTCCTCCATAAATTCTACTAATTCAAATGGGCCCAGCCTAGTTGTGACTTTAGCACAGGTCTGTTTCAGACTTTGTTTCCCTGACATTGCCTTCATTAGGTCTGTGATTGCAATGTCTTCTTGAATGGTAACAGGAGGATGGGCACTGCCTTTCATCTTCATTTTATGTTTAGTGCTTGCCACAAAACACAGGAAGACTGGAGCATTTTAAATTCTTCCTTTAAAAAGAAAATAATCTGCCATTGTCATCCAAAGGTCTCTTTAAATGCCTTTCAGGCTGCCCTCTTATCTAAAATTTCAGTGCATGGTATTTCACAATGAAATCTAAGAATATGTTCTGCATTCTCCTGCCAATGTTCAGCATCAGACTTTTGAGAGAGTTTTGCTGAAAACCCAAATGGTAGAATTTCCTCACAACACAGGACAAATGTGAACAATGTTTGTACTGTGAAGCATTTCCTTCCAAATTCTAATGTTACTTGCAAGAAACCATTATTCCATCACAGTTTTCTCTGGCCAGATATCAAACAGGGGTGCATGAATGCTGGTGGTTGACCTTTAGATTTATTGGTTCAAATCCACAAAATTATGGCTGCTGTCTAAATGGCATACATGGAAAATGATTTTTCCTCATCTGCTTTCTGCATTTTCTTTTCAGGTTGGGGGAGGGTGCCCAACTGCTATTAAGATGCCTCTGTGCTGGAATGGGGGTTTAATTTTTCCTCCCCTAGGTCTGGGATTTTTTTGGGGGGGAAAAGTTCCCACTGACAACAAGAGGAACCTTTTATAGCATCTTAGCTATGTGAAGTGGGAGGGAGGTGCTACTGGTAAAATCAAGGCAGGGGAGGGAAAGATTGATATTCTGTTTCTGGGAAGATGGTTTCCCCGTGAAAATAAGGGGGATTCTGGAAATATAAGTGGAATAAACATGCCATTGAGCGCTGAAGATTATTTCTGAAGGTGTTTTATTTCAGGCAGGTTCAAGGATATGAATGCATGTCCTTAACTAGTCATCCAAGCTCCCTCAGACATTGCTATACCAGACTGAAGAAATATTGGCTGAAATCCTTTTGGGTAGCTATGCTTGCAGAAGGGCGGTGACATCACCAGGAGGGGAGGATTTTTGGTAATGAAAGGTTTCCCTCTTCTCTCCCATTACTTTTCTGACTTGAGAATAATCCATTTCATTGCATGAAAGCTGTGGGAGTCATGGAACAGGAGGAAGAGGTCTTTCCTTACTGAAAATCACTACTGCTGGATTATACTGTTGGCAGGGGAGATATTCAGTAATGAAATATTTACTCTTCCTGTCCCACAGCTCCCATTTGAGGAAAGTGATTTGCTACTCAAAAAAGCTACCGTACAGCACAGAAGGGAGAAGTCTTTCATTACCAAACATCTCTCCCTACTGGTGATGTCATAACTCGTCTGCAGGCATAGCTGTGCTGCCAAGATTTCAGTGATAGAATGGAGGGTTATCTCCAATGTTATGTGAGTAGACATCTCCAGACTTCCTCCTTGTTTTTTCCCACCCATTTGAGTCATATGATATCCAACTCTCCAGTTATAATTATGCCACAAAATGGGCAAAGTTTTTTCTTGTCATACAGATCTGTAGAATATCCAGGTGGATCAGAGTTGGCCCTACACACTTTGGGACTGAATGCTGATATAGGTTTAGAGTTTAACAGTGCATCCCTATTGTTCTCCTAGAATGCTGAATTATAATGGCATACAAATAAGTTACTTGAAATTAATTCCTTTTGTAATTACCAAGCCCTAGTTATTATTAACTAATAATGGTGATATAACTAAGTTACATTACATTTATGTCTTAGTTATTACTTAATAATGGACTGAATAACATTAGCTATATTATTAACTACATTATTAACCAATAACTAAGACATACCTGTAATTTAACTTACAGTATATATTCGAGTATAAGCCAACCCGAATACTGTAATGTAACTTACCATATATACTTGAGTATGAGCCAACCCGAATATAAGCCGAGACACCCAATTTTACCACAAAAAACTGTGAAAATGTATTGACTCAAGTATAAGCCGAGGGTGGAAAATCCAGCAGCTACTAGTAATTTCAGAACTAAAAATAGATACCAATAAAATTACATTAATTGAGGCATCAGTAGGTTAAATGTTTTTGAAGATTCTGCCCTTCTGAGCTGCAAGATACACTTCACTGCCTGCGGAGGGAGGACTCATACCCGATGCTGTGCTTATCTACTGCTCTACTGCTGTGTAACAAGATAGAAAGAGATGGAGGATGGAGGAGGAAGGTGGGAGGAGGAAGGTGGGTACATAGAATATACAGAAGGGGGAGGATGGGAGTGTCCTGGAAGCAGAAACGCAGTGTATTTAACCCAGGTCATCGGACCACCCACAGAGGCTGCAAGTGCCTGTATAGGGGCCTGGGAGTCCAGAGAACACCCGCACTGCAGGAGAGAACATGTAATTTTGACACTGACTCGAGTATAAGTCGAGGGGTGCTTTTTCAGCAAAAAAACATTATGCTGAAAAACTAGGCTTATACTCGATATATACAGTAATCTTAGTTATTAATTAATAATGTAGTTAATGTTATTATATTATTAACTAATAATAAATACATAATTGTAATGTAACTTAGTTATGTCTTAGTTATTAATTAATACTGTAGTTAATAACTAGTTTCCAAACTGCAAAAAGTAACAAATTACAAGCAACTTACCTGTATGCCATTATAATGAGTTACTTCAAAGTTCTGAGAGAACAATAGAGATGTACTCTAAATCTGTACAGGCATCCAGCCCTAAAGTGTGTAGGGCTCACTCCCACCTGCCTGGACATTCTGCAGACCTGTATGTGTTTGTCACAGAGGCCTGCACAGGCACTGTAAGCATATTTAGCTGGATGGGCTTACAGCTTTTCTGTGATCAGCATGCCTGGTAAGAGAAGGCTACTGATCATAGAAATGCTGTAAGCATATTCAGCGCCTTGCAGCACCTTGCGCTGAACACAGACACACACAAAATCTGCAGGACTTATGAGTCAGAAATGCTGTACGCATATTCAGCACCTTGCAGCACCTTGCGCTGAACACACACGCACACACACACACACACACAAAATCTGCAGGACTTATGAGTGGGGTGAAAATGAGGTGCTGGGTTTAATATGCACCTTCCTATCCTATCACCTTTCAAGACCTAGGTGTTTTCAGGATGAACACATGAGCAGAGCATCTGTGTAGTGGATAAGTGAACTAGGGGTGCACATCAATTTTGGTCTGAGGGCTGAATACGCCATTGGCTAGAATACTAGCATTTGCATTCCTTCTGTGAGCAGGAGCATCTCTTTCTCTCTCTCTGTCTCTCTGTCTCTCTGTCTCTCTGTCTCTGTCTCTGTCTCTCTCTCTCTCTCTCTCTCTCTCTCTCTCTCTCTCACACACACACACACACACACACACACACACACACACACACACACACACACACACACACACACACACACACACACACAAAAGTAGCTTCCTAATAACAATTACCAAGAAATTGCTGTCCAAAGCATTGCTGAGCTGCATTTCCATGACGGACGTCTTGTCTGCGGAAACGTCTAGGGAAAAACAAAATATTTTCAGAAGAATAAAGATGCTCAAGCTTGCACTGCAGCTAACTAACCTCAAAAGCCTTCTCCAGTGCTGATGGGAAATGTTTATGCTCAGTGCTTTTCAAGGTATCTTCAGAACAGATAATGACTTGAACCTTTTAGAGAACACTATCATGTGTGAGGGAATTTTATTTTCAAAATCCAAAATAGCATCAAAAGGGTATTACAGAGAAAACTAGGCTAGAAGTCTTTCCTTAATATGTTTTACTCCTTTTGCTCATCCTTCTTCTGAGACTGAGAGCAAATGAGAGTGGAATAATATTCCTTGTATTTAGGAAGTATTGATATACCTGTGTAGATTTGGATAAATTTTTTGAAGTATCTTTTTGATGCTAGTTTTGGAGCTGAATATCCTCTGTGGGACAGGCTAGGCCAGCAATATCCAAGGGATGCATTATACTACTTTACTAATCCTGTTACTCAATGGTGAAGCCAGTAGACGGAAGAACAGCCATGGCAAAATCTTCAATCTTCATTGAAATTCAATCCAAATCTGAGTGAATTAACATCATGCACTTTCACCCTGCTATGTCTGCCTTTACCTTCTTCCCCTCTTTGTTGCCTACCTTTCCCCCATGCTGCACTTAAGACTGTAAGCTCCTTAGGGCAAATCTTTGTTTTCCTGTCTGTTACTCTGTTAGCTACTGTGCATGTCGATGGTTCATATAAATCATTAATAATAAAGGTGATCAGGCAAAAATTGACTGGCAGAAGAATGCTGAATGAACTAAAACTGTCAATAATTCCTAGTCATTAGATGTCACTTGAGAGTGTGCACACTATTTCCCATAATATTCTCAGTAATCTTTAGAATCACTGTCTTCTCCATTTTTACCATTCTTATACATTCTGCTATCTATGTACATGAAGCTCCTGAATAAAGAGGTCTGAAATAAATTGTGCTGATTTCAACTCTAAATTTCCTCTGACTAAACAGACTGGATGAACATTAGTAAAGGAAAGCAAACCAGAATCCAGAAATGCTTTGAATATGCCTACACTTACATGTGTACATGTGAAAATACATGAAGTTTGCAGGCTGGGTTTTGAGGTTGGGAGGTAGCAGCACTGTCACTGAGAAATTTTATGGCAAAGGCGAGATTTGAGCAAGGCACTTCCTTGTTTGCAACCCAGTCTTTTAAGTTGGGCAGTTGTAAGGAAACAAATTAAGTTATCCAGAGAGAGCAACACAAATTACGGTATTACTCAACAGAAATACTTGTTAGAAGCACTATTTATGCTTTGTAAACCTAAACCATTATAGTGATAATAATACTCAAAAGTTTATGTGCAAGAAAAAATACGTTTTCTTCTAGAATGCTTTTCAGTTAGGATTACTGTCCCAAGTCATGTGCAGAGAAAAATGATCTCAGGTGCTGAAATGTTTTGTGGGTTCCTCTTTTGACTCTTCCATTTAAACAAATGAATGCAAAGGCAGGCTATTTTCAGAACAGAATATTTTCTAATCTTCCCCTAGCTCTTAGGACTTATTCAGGCCAAAAAAAGAGCTTTTTCCCAATGTTCCTTGTTATGTTGTTCCATGTGTCACAGTAACAGGGGAAGTGGATCTATAGATCTTTATGACAATGCTATATCATAAATTAACTTGCCCTAACCTGCTATCTTTCAGATGTGTTTGGCCCTCTGTCTTCAGATTTGAAGACTGGCAGAGATTTCTGGGAAACTCCTCTGTTTTTATATTTAGTTTATTTACATAGGAAGAATATTTGATTTTGATTTTTTCTCTCTCTACAATAAGAAGTAGCTTATGGTTCAGTGACTGCACATTGGTAACATACTGTAGCATTTTTCTTTTCCTGAGTAGCTTATTCTTTAAACATTTATTATTTATTATATGTTACCTGAAAGATGCTTAAAAAACCACACTGAAAAACTGTACAGTCCACCTGACTAGAAAATAGAATCTCACAAGCAAATATTTTGTGCATCATTGTGTAACTTGCTGAGTTACTTTACATCCTTTACAGCTTTGCTCCAAAAAAAAATCTCTGGCTAGCAATGTATTGATTCTGTGTTCTTGGAGAGTATCTTGTACATCCTCTGGTTCAGTGCAGCAGAGAGAAAAATTCAACCCAGCAGACGAAACATCTACAACAGCTAGGTGTCCAGCCTCAAGACCTCCACAGTGGACAAGAACCAACACAGTGAAAGATATGTTCTGATTCATGAAGGAATTAAACCAACTCATTCCTACAGAGTGTAAGTCATGCCCCGTGTGGTTTTCTTGGAAAATAGGATTTGTACCTCTTTGCCTGTGTTCCTGTTGGGTAGTATCTGGAACAGGAGATCCCATCCCAAGCGCAGTAAGGATCCCTCGCTAGACAACAGTCAGCACAGGCTGTTCCATACATGTCACACTGATGGAACTTCAACTGTGCAACAGCAGACTCAGCGCCAACATAAATTTGTTGCTGCAGAGGAAAGAACAGAGATGGGAAAATTGGTGAGAAAAGCTCTTCTGTTAAGGCAATTGTTAACATCATCTTCAAAAGTCTATTTTCAAAAATCTATTCAATAGGCATTAACGGCTTTGTTACTTCACCGATAGTTCAACAGTTTTTTTTTTAAACAATGTGCCTGGGTACCGAAGGTTTCACATGCCAGTTCCTCTCTTGGGATGCACCATGAGACTCATCCCAACTAGAGATAAGCACAAAACGAACCAAGAAGCAAAAAATAAAGCAAACTAACAAACCGTGAATAGGGGCATTTTGTGGTTTGTTTCAGGGCGCTTCAGCGGAAATGTGCCTGCTCAGAATGAAACAGCATTCCAAACTTTTATTGGCATTGTCAATTTGTATGCTTCATTTTGGGTGCACGGTTCCTTGCCAGACAGCCTGGCACTAATTCATCAATTCCCTAGACAACTCTGGGATGGACCTAGAGAAAAGTTTGAGTAGGATTGATTGTTATGTCAGACAGCCAACCACAGAACTCCAAGTTTGCTTTCTAGGAGTAGCTAATTATAGGGGCCACACCTTGGGTAGTTCATCTGGTGCCTTTACTGTTGGAGCAGCTAGTGTGAAAAGAAGATGCTTAGCTAGGTAGTTTGTTCATTGTTGCATTGTGTGAGAGAGATTTCAGGAGGATCTGAGGAACTTCGAAGAAATTGCTTGTAGCAGCTTTTATTTTTAATTTCTAAAACATTTTCCCCGGCTGAGTGTGTGTTTGTGTGTATGTATTTGGGGAGGGTTTTTTAACTTCTTTCCTGACTCCCCCCAGTCCACCTCATGATGAGCAACAGCCTGTCTCAAGTTCCCTCCCATGAACCACTCAATTCTTTTTCCCCAAGCCAGCTGCTAAAGAACCATGAAGCACTCATTTCTTTTTCCCCAAGCCAGCTGCTAAAGAACACTTTCCTGGAGGGACCTGCTTTGGGGAGCTATAACTCAGATGCCCCAAATTCAATCTTTGCCAAACTTGGAGGCTCTAGGGAGGAGATTCTATAGGGACAGAATGGTTTCCTGTAGGCAAAGGTGTCAGACAAGGATGCATTTTATCCCCTTATCTGTTCTATCTGTATGCAGAACAAATCATACAGAGGCCAGACTAAAGTCAGATAAAGGAGGAGTGAAAATTGGTGGAAAAAACATCCATAATTTAAGATATGCAGATGACACCTCTTACTGGCAGAAAGCAGCAATGACTTGAAAAAGTCTGCAGCTAAAAATCAGAAGATTTGAAAGAGCAGCAATGAAGGAACTAGAAAAGATCATCAAATGTAAGGATGGGTAATGGAGACCAAGATCACCCACATACTTGTATTCCCAATTGCCATGTATGGGTTTGAAAGCTAGACTGTAAAGAAGGCTGAAAGGAAAAATAAATTACTTGTTTGACATGTGATGTGGATTCCCTGGACTTCCAGAAAGATGAACAAGGGTGTTCAAGAGCAAATCAACCCTATTTCTGAAGGCAAAAAATGATGAAAATGAGGCTGTCCTACTTTGGGCACATCATGAGAAGGCAAAATTCTCTGGAAAAGACAATAATAATAGAAAAAGTTCAAGGCAGCAGGAAAATAGGGAGACTAAATAAGAAATTGATTGACTTCTCCAAAAGAATCCGCAGGCTTCAGCTTGCAACAGCTGAACAGGGTAGTTAAGTCTTTGTCTATATGTGCTCCCTGGAGTTCACAATCGTTTGGATTTTTTTTAAAATCAATATTTATTTTATTGGGTAGTTGAGGTTATTATTTATTTAGAATTTAGGGTTTTATCTTTGTAAACCTCTTAGAATAGTGCCTTATGCTAAGTCATGCTATGTATGTATGTATGTATGTATGTATGTATGTATGTATGTATGTATGTATGTATGTATGTATGTATGTATGTATGTATGTATGTATGAATGAAAGTAAGCTGGGAAGTGCTTTTCTTCAGAGAGAACAAAACAAGAGCATGAAATTGTTACTTTCATAAAACTTCATTCAGTTTTACAACTACTGTATGTTACTCATCACTCATGAGTTAAATGTCATGTAATGTGTTACTGTCAATCAAATTGTTAATTTTAAAAAGTTAAAAATGGCTGAAATTCCCGAGTCTCTGTTAAGTGTGATGTTTCTGCAACAAAACAAAACAAAAAAGTAACATGTAACATTATTACTTTTAACTAGAGATGGGGATATCATATTCGTATACAAACACTAATACCCCCGGACAGGTGGAGATAATGAGGGTCCAGCCCCATGAGGCCAGACAGTCCACTCACTGATGTGCTAATGCTGCAGGGTCTGTGCTCCCATCCTATCACTCCGGAGATCACTGAGCCACTCTTTGACCTGGCAGAGAGGCTTGTCATCCCACCTCCTGCCAGGAGTGGCTCGATCATGATCTCCGGAGTGATAGAACGGGAGCGTGGGCCCTATGGCATTTGTGCATCAGTGAGTGGACTGTCCAGCCCCATGGGGCCGGAATCTCATTATCTCCACCTGTGCAGGGGTATTCATAGCCGTATACGAATACCCCCATCTCTACTTTTAACACATTGATTCCAAGGTCTAAAGAAAACTAGATTAAATAAGTGGAAGCATAACAATATATTGAACACATTGTGAATTTAACCATTTTGCTTGCAAGTGCTTCTTCATGCATCATGTTATATTTATCAACAACTGCATTTTCGTCAACTTTCCATTCCACCCATAAATGAAGATGATGGATTGTTTTGACAGTAATGTGGACTGGAACAGTTCACACAGCTTGAAACCAGCAATGTGCAGGGGATAGGGGAATGTATTTGAATGTTTCACAAGGAAGCAGAGCATGAGTGTGCACTGATATTTAAAATTCCAGGCATCACTCAATGAAGGGTGATTTTATATGGCATATTTAGTTGCACCACACTAGCAAAATCATTTTAGGCAGGCTCACACTTTCTATAATGGAGAAAAATGCAGCAGCCGTGACAACACCAGAAAAATAGGGAAAGAAGTGAGTGTGACGAATGCTCTCAAATCTAAATGTGTATACATTTGGCATAATATATTCTGATCCTGATTTTATAAGAAGTACAACCAAGTAAGTTTATCAAGTATTACATCTAGAAGCATCCACAGGATTGTCTTGTTAAATGACAATATTATGACACACTACGTAACAGAACATGCACATACATGTTCATTTGAATGTAAATCTTAATATGTTTATTCCCATGAAAGAACAAAGGATGGTGGCCTAAGATTCTCTCTTTTAAAAAAAAGATGTAATTTTTAGGTACTAAAGTACCTAAAGTGCTAAAAATTGGGGTACTTCCCTGAGAAGACAATTTAGGGAGAAGTTTCTGTGGTATGTCATGTAAAAGGAGTAAAGGTCTGCCTTTAAAATTTGTATCACTGAACATAGATCCCTTGAGACTTGGAGCCTTACTGAATTGCAGGGTGTGTGTGCACATTTTCCCCATTGATCACATGATGCAATGGGAAATGTGAATCAGCCTGGAATCCCACAAACCCCAATCCATAGTTTTTCCTCTCCACCAGAGACCCTTCTACTTTTTAAAAATTAAATCCCTTCGCTACCAATGCAGAAAGGAAAGACAAAGCAAGCTAGCAAGAGTGATGTTTTGTTAAAGCACCGTCCCTCTTGCCTCATGAGGGAGAACAAACAGATTGTGCACACACACACACACACACACACACACACAAGTAGTACCAGCATTCAACTCTCTCCCAAGCCAAGACATCTCTTTTCTTCTTCTTCTTTTTTAAACAGCTTCTTATGAAAAAGAAGAAAATTCTGTTTACCTATATATTTATTTTTTAACAGCTTAACAAGCTCTATAGGCCAGCAATATAAGATGAAGAAATGAATGACTGAGGAAGGACAGTGTTCTTAAGGCATTTCATTTGAACTGCACCACCTACAAGTGCTTCAAGAGAAATTACAATAAGAAGGCTCCCCCCCCTTCTGTGGTTACTTAATATCTAAGAAGAGAACTAAATGTCCAGTGAGACTTTGCAGAGAGAAAATGCAAGTTAACTCACATTTCCTTCACTGTGTAGCTATGCTAGTCTGTCATTCTATCTACACTACACCACATTGGCTCTTAAAGGAAGAATTACCAAACAATTACTGGGATAAGTTAGGGCAGGCACACACAGTTCCTGAAATCATTGTTGAGGGTATAATTGCTTTGGCAGAAACCAAATCTTTTCCCTCCAGTTCTTTTTCAAAATGTCCTGAGGGAAGACCTCTGTTTTGCTTTGTCATTGGCACCAATTTTCTAAGCTTTTGAAAACGTTCAGAGAAACTTGGGGTTTATTTGTCTGTTGTGTACAGCTGGTTGAATATTCTTTATGGGGAATAATTCATATGCCATCCTAAATTGTCAGAAAAGGGTATAGGCTAGAATTCTTCTTGTTAACATACTAGTCGTCTGCATGGAAAAATGATAGGAGGAACATCCTGCCATGTGTGGGACCTTGCTAGTACTTGCATCCTGGAATAGTAGAGCTTGGACATAAAGGTCTGTGAAACATCCCTAATATACTGCACTTCCTTTACTTTATTTCTTTTGCCTACATTTGAACTTGTACAGACATTTCACCATGGAATGGCCCTTAATTTTTTAGACAAGGCCTAACCTGCAGCCTTCTAGAGGCTGATGAACTACCATTCCTCCTATCATCCCTTGACATTGACCAGGCTGGCAAGGACTCATGAGGTTAACAACATCCAGGTGGCCCCAGGTCCCCTTGCCTTCCATTGAACCAAATTTAGTTGCAGTTCTAATGTAAGTATAGCAACTGGAATAACATTCCTAATTAGAGCAATGGCATCTTCAAAACAACAATCCATAATACTCACCCTTTTTGAAGAAATTTCAATGGCTATCACAGGGACTGGCACCTAGAAACAAAGGGTACATTCCTTACTTTAGTGAATAGATCATATTGGGAGTTGTGACAGACAAAAGTAGGGGCACACCCAAGAGTTACTTCCTTAATTTTCAATATGGAGCCACATGAAATATGATTAATTTCTTTTCCAGCCATTTACTGGGAAGAAAGAGACTTCACATAGGCCCCCTCCTTCCAGCCATTTATTTCAGGAATGCATAGTAAAGGTGCTCTGTTTGGACCTCTATACATGTGGCCACCACATGCATGCAGTTTTCACCATTCCTTTTTCTTTAAAGGGGAAAAATATCAGCAATTGGAGAATCATATTCTACTCCATGTGAAGCCTGTCTCTGCTGTGAGTACAATAGCAACCATATATAAGAAAGCAGGAAATGGTATTTGAATCAGGGGTGGAAGGTGACATTCAACTGGGAGCCAAATTTACACTCCTAGTACTCATCCAGGAGCTGAAGATTTCCCCCCACCCAGAAAAACTTCAAAACAATACAGTAGGACCCCCATATCCACAGGGGATAGGTTGCAAGCCCTACCCCCCACGGATGCATGAAACCATGGATAGTTGTGCACACATTAAAGAGAGCACACAGTGGGCTGGGTTTCAGCAGCAGCAATCATAGCAAGAGGTGAGGGAAGGGCAAGAGGTAGAGGTAAGTGCACATGAGCGCTGTGGCTTGTGCATTTGCACTGTGGACTGGGTTGCAGCAATGGGAACCATGGACAGCTGAAACCACAGATGCTGTCCCTGTGGATACAAGGGTTTTACTGTAGAGGAAAGGGTTACAGCCATGTGCCCTAGTCGGCTGCCAAAATTTCTGTGGGGGGAGCCACTTGTTGCCTCTGGGCCATGCTTTGCCCAACCCTGATTTAAAGAAATTTCAAAACATACCATTAACTTAAAGTCACTTTCAAAGAGAGTTTGCTCCTCCTGCAGGCATTTTTATGGATCATCTTGCCCTCAAAGCCACACTTCCAGGAATTAATCCTTTTGTCATTGGGTGAGATTTTAGTGGCAAGATAGTTCCAGAAAAGACAGAGGTCTTCACTGCTGATAATTACATGGTGGCAAGAAAAAAGGTTTTTTTTAAAGTTAACCAGGATGGTGTAGACGGAGATGGGTTTATCTAATTTAAGTGACACGTTGTTTTGTGCCAACCTGCTAGCAGATGGTTTAAACAGATGATTTAATCTTCCATATGTAAAAACCTTTGGTCAGCAACTGGTTCCCATTAGTTGAGGACCACAGGAAATGGAGCTATAGGTAATCAGAGATACCACTAACAGATAAGGATAATTATCCATGTGGATCCTTGGAGAGATAAAATCCAGTGAAAAGAATATTAAACTCTGGAAAAGTTGAGACTGGGAAAGGATTGATCATCAAAGCCTAATGGAAAATAGTGGAGGCTGACTTTCTAAGACCACTCATTATTTTCATAGCCCAAAACTCAACCATACAAAATAGGATTTATGATAGACCAGAAGAGTTCAAATTAAGTAGCAAGTATGGAAAAATGGGAATATCCCACATTTCCCATATCAGCTCACAAGACCATGATCTGCATGAGCTTTTCTTTGTCTGACTTTATACATAGCCGTTAATTAAATCATGGTCAAAAATCTATTGCAAAATACACCTGTGTAAAAGAGATCAACCAAGCAGGTTTTGTACTTTTCTCAACATCTGCTGTGTATCTCATCACACAATGGAGTACAACTGAGCATACAACAGGGTGCATCCTAGCATGTGACCGACAGACAGCACAATTGTGCATGCCACTTATGTGATTTCTGGTTTGCACTGTGAAAATGTAAAAAGGATTCTAGCCCTTACATTACAAAAATTACAGATACTGTACTGTATTATGAAAGTTCCTGTATCCTCCTCTATTATCAGAACCAGTTTTTTGTGGGTTTTCTTTTTCTTATTGAGAAAACCATTTCTAGAAGCTATTTAAGTAGCTTTCCAAAGTCTTGCAAAATTTGTTCATGGCTGTGAACCTGTATAACATCAAGGCTACTCAAAGTCTATTAATCTCAGTGAGTTTTAAGAAGCCCCAGTTTTGTGGAAAACTAGTTTGATAAGACAGACGGGGGAAAGCCCTACTTTGAACACTTGCAGCTCCTCAAGAATCACTTCTTCCATTGATTCTGTGTCTTGGTTGTAAATTGTAATGACTTTCAGTACAATCCCATTATCTGTAAACAACAAAAACAGAAAACTTAATATTGCTAACAATTTTTGTTCATCAGTCACCAAAGGACAGTTTTAAAAAAGAGCCTGATGCTTGTAAAAAAGTAAGAAAAATATACCTGCCATCTAGTAGAAAAGAGGAAGTGGGAACACATAAATGACATAAGATGCCAAAGAAGCTCTCTGTGTGTGTGTGTGTGTGCATGCATGCATGTGCCTGTCTGTCTATTAATAGTTAGCTGCTTTGATTGTATTTAAGCTCTGCATCATTATTAGTTACATTTTTTATCCTGTCCTCCTTCTAAGGAGCATAGTGTGATATTCCAGATTCTCTCAGTCCTAATTTCTCCTCACAGCAGCCCTGCAGAGTAGACTATGTGACTGGCCTTCTCAGTTCAAAGCCTAGCACTCAAATATGCTGGCCAGATACAGCAGTTGTTCCTATAAGCATATTTGAGTGCTGTATAAATGATGCTGATGAAACAGAGTGGTCACATTTCCTGTTTCAAGGATGACAGACCACAGTGGATATCTGGAAACAGACTCAATGGGCATTGTGATTCTATGTAAGTTATAAAAACCATTCCTAACTTTGGCAGATATAAAATAACATATGCAATTTTATGCCAAAAAGATATTCCTTTGTCTTCTTTTCTGTTACTCCTTTTTAGTAATGTATCATCAGTCATTCAATGAAGACACAGAAAATAGTTGCTTAACTAAGGACTAGAATGGCCAGCTTGCACCTTGGATGCTGGATATAAGTGTCTACATTTGCTAAAACAGGAAAGAAGTCCAGTATGGCTCCTTACCCCTTACCTGTTGCTTATATAGCCTCAAGAGAGAGAGAGAGAGAGAAATATGCCTGTTTCTGGGTTGTAGAGTGACCACAACCCTGGGAAGAAAGCCCAGCGAAATGCATGACTAGGGATAAGAAGACAGTGACAATGAACCTGAAATGATTTCTGCTGGCAGGGTGGTTTTAAGCCAAAGTTCTTTTACAGACGTCCAGTCCTAGAAGTGACGCAGAGGTTAACATTTCCAAACTCTAGCGATAAAAAACCCAGCAACGGCCCTGTACCAGCACTAGATATATCTTTGCAATAAATCTTCAAACTGAGAAAATGATCCAATTTAGAAGGCTCCTTCCAAACAACAGGCCTGAAGAGGAGAGCACTGTACCATAGCAAAGAGTGATGAACTAGGTTTTTTTGAAGTAATTGGATACTGAAGTGATCCTGTAAGCGTTTATACCATTCTGTGCCCTCACATCTCACAGCATGCAATAAATCTGAATCACATACCACAGCCTATATCACTGAACTTCCCACAGCCTGCAACTGTTTTTGAAGTGTGGGACAGGTGGGGAGGTGGAAGAGGGAAATGAAAACAGCAGCATTGACCCAAAAACATCCTTGGTAAATTTAACCCATTAATACAAAGAAGCATTGTTATGGAGGTGGCCCAGGAGCAACAGTCTGGGGGGAAGGCATGGAAGTAAGGAGAGGGAACATGGCGGGAGTGAGCTAGTTCCTTGCAAGGAGAGTAGATATCTGTTCTTGCCCACCACAGAGTAACATGTTCAAAGAATGTTAGCTTCACTACCAGGTTATAATCATCTACTGTCTAGGACGGGGTTTGGTTCTTTTAGTGGGCTGGGGGAGAGTTTACCCCTGCTGCCTGCCACTGGTTGCACCAAGTCATAAAATGGCCTACAAATAATAAAAACAAAATGGCACCAGAAATACTATTTTGATTGGGTGTGTGTGCAGTGGCCGGCAGTCTTGGGGATACAACCATCCACTGTATCTCATGGAAGTACCAAATGCTTCTGAGAGTCATTCTTCCCATTAGGAAATATATACCCACACCCATCAGAGTCCCCAGTACATCCCAATATGGGACATATATATATGTTTCATATTGGGATGTACTGGGGACTCTGATGGGTGTGGGTACCACAAGAATGCTCCTGAGACGCTGACTTTGTCTTCACCTCATGGTTTATGGAAGTCCAGAGGATGCTGGGAAGAGAACAGTAAGGGAACATTGTCTGGGGGGAAATCAGAAAGTGTGTAAGGTCTAAAGGCAGCCAGGGCTGAAAGATGGCCCAGCATCTTCACCCGAAGCTGAACGACAGTGGAGAGGCTGGAAAACCAAGTCCTTAAAAGAAAAAATCCAAAACACCACCCTCCTGTTTCTGTTTCATTTACCTGTTCCAATAAACAAGACATCATATTGTCCATCCTCTGCTTCTACTCTGTCGACTGCTATTTGTTTGAGCTTGTATTTCCCATCTGTCTTCACAAGAACTGGTTTCTTATGAACAGGCCGAACAGGCTGATACATCAGTGGGTGGCTTCTAGCAAAACGGATTGCTTCATCTGGGTAGTCTTTGGTGCTGCCATGCAGGCCTCCATTCACTTTGCTGGCACACTGTCAAACATGGAAGAGGGAAAGAGATGTCCGATATGGTGATAGGTGGTTGTTTGTTTGAAAAGAAAATTAACAATGCAGAGATTGGTGAATTGTATCCCACCACTTTAACCTGGAACTCTGGAGCCAGGGATTTCTACTTTCTTTCCAGAAGATTTAATGTGTTGTACTGGAGAAGCAGGGGATTTAGGTTTGAGGAGAGTGTGTGCCCATCTTGAGGCAGTAAGCATATAGCTCATTGGTTGGGGTATCTTGGCTACAGAGGTTGGGAGTTCAATCCTCCGCTATGCTTCCAGGGAGAAAAGCCAGCCTTGCATGGCTTTGGGCAAGCTGCACAGTCCCTGGATGCCCCCAGAATGGTAACCATTTCCAAATATTCTTTACTGATGGAATGCGAGTATTATACTAAGGATAGGAAACTGCTTAGCAATAGGAGCTGAAATTTTAACAAAAGATACCCAGCCGTTTGCAAGATATTTTACCCCCCACTCACCCCCTCACAGCTTTATTTGGCCAATTTCTCCACTTACAGTTTGTGCTGTTATTTCAGGTCAAAGGGAAAGTTTAATACCAGCTTCGCCATAGTCGTTCTGTAATGCATATAGTATGTAGATTTTATTTAACAGGCCAAATATGGCTTATTTTAGTTAGGGAGTTTCTAAGATGTCTGTGGCGTCCACTCAGGTCATAAATATTAATAGGATATCCGCATAGACCAATGGGAGTAATGGAGGGGCGGAGTCATGAGATATAAGAGACTCAGCAGGAGGAGGGGGCGTTAGTGGAGGAGACTGAGAGTTTTAGTGTTGAAGGGTTTTGGAGATTGAGTGGGAGAGTGGCACCTGAGAGTGGATGAAGGAGGATGTTTGTTAAGAGTTAACAACATTGCTGGAACTATAATCCTCTGTAACAATAAACCATTTCTGTTTGGTTCTTTTAAAAATGACCCATTGCCTGGACTTCTATTATTAATAGTAAATAATGTTGATGTAATCAACTAGTGGCAGCTGAAAGACACGTAGTGTGAGCTCTTAGTTTGGTGAAACAACCAGGGGCCACGTGGGATCACGACAACATCCTTTTGCAACACAAATAGATCAGAGTGTGTAGGAGGTAAGGATGTGAACACTCTCAGATTTTCTCATCCTTGACAAAGAGGAGCGCTTTGGTGTGTCAAAAATAATTGTCACCCACTGAGAGATGATTTGCTCCTACACAGGACCAGGTTTTTTTTTCAGCAGCAGCAGTAACAAAAAAGTGTGGCGTTTTGAAAAACAAATACAAAACAAACAAATCTACAGCCCTTACATTTGGTGTAACAAAACTTTCATTTTGCTGTATGTATTAGTTACATTTATATCCCAACCTCTCCTCAAGAGTAGTATACATATCTCTTTTTGCTCTGACTGTATCCTTACAACAGCACTGTTGGGCCAATCAGGCTGAGAAACAGTGAGTGGCCCAAGGTCACCAGGTGAGTTTTCTCACATGGGGAAGGGGCACGTACCATGGTTTGGCAGTTTGGTGGATCAGGCCCACAGGTGTTGCGTGGACACCCTGAATTCTGCTGCCCTTCTCCTCCCATGGCTGCCCACTGAGAAGAGGAGCAGAGCAGAGAAGCCTGTGGTGCTATTTCTGAGAGGATGCCCATGGGAGGAGATGGGGCACTGAATCTGCTTGGGCAACACTTGTGGGCCCAATCCACCAATCTGTGCCAAAGCACCGATGGTAAGTTCCCATCTCTAGTGGGGAATCTGGGTCATGATATTTTCATATTCTGTACTTGAGGCAAGTTGAAATATAGAAATCATTGCCACAAGGAAATCACTGTGCCTAATGTGTAGATTGCTGGATGAATATAAGCAAGGAGATGTGCAAACTACAGGTAGGCACCAACTGAGTAACCTTTTAAATGGTTAATCATTAGGACAGCATTGGGGCCTTGGCCTTTGTAGAAAGTATTGAGAAAATTACTTTCAGTTGAACAGTATTTCTCCGCTCAGGTTTACCCGACCCCATAACACAATACATTTCACTGTTGGCACGAACATTGCAGGACAGAACACAAAAAAGGCAACACCTTTCGATTAGATAACTGCTAGACTTTAAGTGGAACATTACTCTCAGTGACCCTTCATCAATGCAATATGCCTCTCACATTTACTAAACAGCATAAAGATGGAAAAGCTGTTTGAATATTTAAGTAGAACAGTTCTGCAGATATGTGAATAAACCTTGCGGAGTGACAAGTTTTTATAATGTATATCGCCAATTTTTTGCACAAAATATCATTCCTCTCTCCCTCCCTCTCCTCCTCTCTCTCTCACACACAATTTCCCATTTTTATGCCAGAGGTTAGGGAATACGAAAAAGGCTTTGTTCTCTCCTCAGAGATTCTTTCAACAGTGAGAAGCCCAGACTGATGAGAGTGAGGATTTTTTTTTATGCAATATTTTTACATCCTTACTCCAATGAGCAACTCTTCAGTCAGCCTATCTATGAGAAGGAAGCACTTCAGTAAATGGAGAAAACCTATATGTGGTATCTACTTGCTGTGACCAGTTCCCCTTTTTACAGGTATGTCAGACACTTAAATTCAATATGATGCCCTCAGAAGTAGCTGATGTTAGTGATGCAGGGGAAAGGAAGGAAAAAAAGTTATAAACGTTCAGACTCATCTGTTACTGAGCTTATAGGCCTTCATTTTATTTGGCATAAGCGCCACTCAAGCTTTAGCGAACACTGGGGACATGGTTAGCAGGAAGGCTTAGCCATGCTTTCATTGTGCTACACATGAGCAAGAACGCGGGTGCTGGAAGCATGAGGGGGATGTTCACATCCCCATGCAGGTTCACAACACTGACTTTTGTATTGCCTGAATGGGGCTGTTTTCTTAAACAAATCTGATGGATATTTTTTGTTTATTGTTTTAATGGGGTTGGAGCCAGGAATCGAATACCTCAGTGAGCACAAACAGTAAAAAAGATATACTACATACAGGGGAAAACCTGGGATTTATTCACTGAGATTTGTTTCTAATTGCGCAGAGGATATTGAGGAACCCTTTTCAGAAGATTAATGTTGGGATGAGGACTTCTACAGCATTTTAAAGCCCAAAAGTTTAGGAATATGCCTCTCACATTCATCAAAGGGTTTTAAAATTCCCAAAATGAAAGTTTCAAATCTTTTGATGAAAATCATAGATAACATTCCCTAACTCAACATGAATTCCTCAATTCAAAACTGGCCTCGTGCTCTTTTATTAGAATCATTTAGGATTTTGCTAGAAATATTTTAGTAATCATTTATTTCCTCCACAGCTCTTGGAAACAATGTGGTTTTAAGAAACATCTCAGGCACAACCACAGTAGCAGGCTCTACCCATTTAAATGGGATTTTCAATCAATAATGTGAAATAAAATACCCTTTATGTTTACTGGAAACATTCAGGCTCAACTTGTGGCAGGGCGGTAATTGACACTAATAAACTCCTGCACTTGTCAAATGGGGCAGTGTTTATTTTCCTTTTCTTGGGGCTTGGCTACCCAGAACTATTCGCTCTGGGCTGGTTTTGAAGTGTGTTTTCTAATCAGCCAGCAGTGGAATTTCCACCAGCTGCTTGTCATCAAAGGCCAAGCATGTGGGTTTCAGCAGAAGCTAAAGTGTCTGGTTTTTCATGCACCGCCACAGTCAATGAAACAGCTCAGCCAAGGCTGGATGAAGATTTCCAACTCTGAGCAAGATTTGAGAACATAATTTAGCTGCATTTAAAAGAAAACCATTTCTTTCTTTCTTTCTTTTTTAAATAAGACAATAGCTCTGTCTTCAAGGGCAATTGTGCCTTCGACACTCTTGGGTGGGCATTCGGGTAGCTTTGTATTGCTGCTTTTCAACAGTGTCATGGGGGAATCAAACAATTAATTGGACTGATTAGAGAGATGCCAACAGTCACAGTGGAAGCTCTGCCAAGCTCTGCTAAAGATTTAGCACAAAATGTTGTTGGGGTTTAGAATCAAGTGTGTAAATGTAAATGCCAGGTTTAGTGCCAATTTAAATCCAGTTTTTCTTCTTCACAAGGAGGCAGGTTCTAAACCAAATAAGTGACAGAGCAGTACTACTCCTAAATAGTCTGTGCACATCTTTGGGACTAAGAATGTAGGCCAAATAAACAAATCCAGGAATTGGCAAAGGAGAGTACATAAGTCAAATTCCTTTATCTAGTAAGTCTACCTAAACATTTCTGGCTGGGAAGCCCTTTATACAAATTACAGCAAAAGCCCAGCAGTAAGTCAGCTAGAGGATAGAGTGGGAAAAGATTTATGCAATGTCTTCACTGTGAGACACAAGCTTCTATGCGTAGATCCATTGGCCAATTAATTTCTAGTCATACACCTAGGACTCCTGGTTGGGCAGGTAACATGTTCATATACATCATAAGCCAGTCCAGACAGAACAATGAAGCACTGAAGAGCAAGGTGATGAAGCAGTGAATGAGCAACTGCATCAGCTATATTCCCCACATGTATCCTCTTTTTGGATTAAGGCATATGCATCTCTCAGACAAGCTTCTCGTCACTGGAAGCTCCACTGAGAGGGATCACACTTGGCTTCACAATCAATTTCCAATGATAAGAAATCTGCTTCCATCATAATTTGCCTGTTTTAAGAGAAAGCAATAAAGCAAGCTGTTTACACAACAATCATTAAACCACAGCCTTCTTCTACATACCGATCCAGGTCTTGGGTATGGTACTTTCCCTTCATACACAGACCAGTGGTACTCAGGCCCTTCTTTATGAGCATATGGTCCATTGAAAGCTGCTCGAATACTAGCCATATGATAGACACATATAGCATACCCTCGAAATATGTTGCTGCAAAACAGAAACCAAGAAAGTGTTAAGCAAAGATTTACAGATGGGACATAACTAGGCAGCTGAGTCCCTTCACTGGGAGAGATACAGTGAATTCCCCCATTGGGAGAAAGGTAGGATATAAATATGGTAAATAAATAAGCAAATAAACAAATAAAGAATTTAGTCATTTATACAGGCCATGTCACAGAAAAAAAGAAAAGAAAACCACCTTGTATGTGAATGGACATGTACGTATTCAGCCTTAATTGCCAACACATCTGTCTGCATACATGTTTTAATTCAAAGATATTATCACATTTGGATAGGGAGAGGGATTGCATATGAATAGGGATTTTTAGGAGGCTGGTCTGATTTACACTTTTGTACTAAAAGAAGGATTAGTATTCACTGATGGTTATCCATTTTTTGTACTTTTCTAAATTTTGCTGAACTCTTAAAGATGCCAGCATTTATACAAAAATACTTGATGGTCTTTATGGATATTAAAGTGCATAAAAAATTTATAGTTTAGCATATGCTAAAATTAGAGAAACATGCATACAAAACTGCGTATTTGTGAAATATCCAAAATAACTTATATAAATACTTGTAAAATTTGAAGAAAAAAGAAGAAAAGAACACGTGGTTGCATATTTAAAAGGATGCAGAAGAAAAAAGTATAAGAATCTTGGCTGGCATTTGAGAAATAATTGGAGTTTCTAAACTGGCTTCAGCAGTAAAATGTTAAATTACTTAGGATTATAAAAATGCAGTTCTAAAAATCCATATACAAAACAGTCAGTCCCACTGAACTGTACATGTTTGGCAAATAGCAGCATTACTTTGCATCATTTTGCAAACATGCATTGATTGTTTCAACAATTCCATTCAAGAACAGTTGTGGGGAACAACATCTCCCGTTGGCTTCAATAAGATTTAATCCTAGGAATCTAAGTACAACTTCAGCTAGGCTCATACAAGGATATCATCATCATCATAGAACTGTGGAGTCATCGAGTCCATCCCCTGTCAAGGAGGCACGGAAGAGAATTTTGCTTGCTGTTGTGTTACAAGGCATGTTGCCTCGATAATTCACACATTTTCAAGCCATACGGGGGCATGCCAGAGAAATAATGTGGACACAAAACAGTGCATATATTTTAAAATCATAAAATTGGAAAAACTTGCAGAGACATGAGTAAATCAGGTAAAGTGCCTGAACGTGTAGATTAGAAAAATGTATTTAAAGTTTCAATGCAGAAAGAATAAAACAAATTATTGCCTTCAATATGAAAGTAGCAAGAGAAGAAGGCATAAGGTGGAATTCAAAGTAATGCAATAAAATTCAGAGTAAGAGATTTTCAACTCTCTAGGGTCGTATCAAACATCTGTGCCTTATCTCCTATAGAAGATAACATTTCAACCAGTCAACACTGTCCTTATCAATGAACCAGATTTTTCCTGGCCTTTAGGTTTCTGCATTTCAAAAGATTGGATCAGGAGGATTCTGCATACAAAGAAAAGCAAAACAGGCAATTATAGCTATTTTCTCCTACACACAAAGTTCTGTCCTGGTCTACTGTATCAATTGATTTTCCTGAAAAGTTACAATTTGGCTAAACTGCTGGATTTACTAGTATGATTTCCTGAAAATCAGACTCCTTGAATAATCTCCATTAGAGATGGGGACAAATAAAAAAAATGTGTTTTTTAATGTTATTCGTCAAGGTATTAACGAATACGAATATATGAATATTCCTCAACGAATTGATGGATCAATCTGTTGATTCATGTGCACTTTAAATTGCTGTAACACTTGCCCCCAACCATCTAGAGACACAAAATGTGCAGGGAGGCTTCCTCAGATGGTTTTCTACAACTCCTGAATGTTTGGTGAACATTCAATTGGCCCTCCAGCCAATTAAGTCTTTCTTATTTTTCTCCCCTTTTATGCCATGCCATCTTGGTAATCTTCTTCAAATTAATTGTTCAATTGTAATAGCAACTTTATAATTTTATATATTTTATATTGTTCTGTTCTATCTATGTAAGCCGCCCCGAGTAGACATGGTCTAGAGGGGCTGGGTAAAAATCAAATAAATAAATAAATAAATAAATAAATTTCTCCTCTGAGGAGCTTAGTTTCTGTTAATTCAGAATGAAACCCTAGGGCTGGCCCTCCCAGCCAGGTACTTAGAAACTCCAGAATCACAACAGAGCTTCCTATGTCTTTCTTCAACATGTCTGCCAACTTTGGTGAAGATTGGATATTGGACATTCCAGTTGTTCACCCACAAATTGGGTCCCCCCGGAAGAGTTTACCACATGGCACAGAAGCCCATTCTGTCTACCAGCCACCTATCAGCTGATCAGAAGTTGATAGGCAGCCACCCCCCACACAGCCAGCCATCCCAAAAGCCTGCCCGCACACCCACTTCCTTTCCCACCCCACTCCCACTGACACCCCCTTACCTTAATAGCTGCTGCCGAGGTCTCCATCAGGCCTTTGCAGCCAAGGGGGTAAAAAGAGAGACTGGCTGCCCTTTGCAAAGATGGTGGCTGTGGCTTCATTTAGGGTAGGGAAGCTGCAGCTGCCATCTTTGCAAAGGGCAGCCTGGATTCCCTTTTTACATGTGTGGCTCCAAGGCCAGAAGACCTTGGCAGCAGGTAAGAGGGTGATGGTGGGTGTGGGGTGGCATGGGGCCTAAAGGAAGGGGGTGGGGGTAGGCTGTGGTACTGGGTGGCTGTGTGGGGTGGTGGTTGCCTTTCTGCTTCTGATCATTTGATAGGCGGCTGGTAGGCAGAATGGGCTTCTGTGCCATGTGGTAAACTCTCCTGGGGGGACCCAATTTGTGGGTGAACAACTGGAATGTCTGATATCCAATCTTCACCAAAGTTCGCAGTCATGTTGGGGAAAGACATAAGAAGCTCTGTTGTAGGCAGAGTGGTGTTTTTGTTTGCTGTTTTTTAATACGAAGGATGAATAAAAATGGGTAAATATTCATCCCTTTGTAATTGTGGGGGTCTCTGGAATGCACAAATACGGATCAACAAATATTTAATGAATTGGCTATATTCGTCGGAAAAAGCAATCCATTTTTATATTCGTCCCCATCTCTAATCTCCATCTTTCATCAAATGGAATCCAGCATCTTAACTGCTTACCTCGTAGTGTTGAAGAGTCCAAATATCACTGGGTTTTTGTTATCCCGAGTCTGGAGCAAAAATACATCTTCTGCAAAGAAGAAACATGATGATGTTTAAATATTATTTAAGAATTCGTTCTTTCTGAAGAAGAAGGGCTTTAGTGGCTTTAGAGCCTATGCTACCCAGTTTTGCACTCTGAAGGCATATTACTGAAATGGAGGGCCAGTATTGACATCGTGGAAAATGCTGGCTTATCACTCCTTTGGGTCTTTGCTAGGTTTCTGAGAAGATCCAGGGCCTTTCCTTCTTGTTTTGATTAACATCCTTCTCTTTTTGCATCTTAATCCTAAATTGTAGTTAATTTCATCTGCAGTTTGTTCAAACAAGGCAGGTTCATATCAAAAATACCTGGATTTGCTTTATTTCAAAGAAATCATTGTAAAGATCAGACACATTTAAAAGGGCTAGAGAAAGTATCCATCTTCAAAATGGGTGCAAACTCTCCTGCTTGCAGGAGGTGGGGAGGAGGAGGCTCCTTACTCACTGCAGTTTGTTCCTGACATGATAAACCAAGGCAATAGCAATATCTGAGCCAACTGAACAAAGTCACCATAGTGTTAGAATTACAAGCTACTTGTACACCTTGAAGTTGTTATGGGCTATGTCTTGAACCTATGCAGCATGCAGCTCACCTAATTCATCAAAATGTGTGTCAATTCCATTCCTCCCTGGCACGGAGCAGATCAATCTGGTTTTGAGGAAAGTGGTCCATTTATTCACCAGCATCCGTTGTCCACCCATATCATTCTGGAGAGGAAGGAACAAGAAAGAAAATGTTAAGCTTACAGGCAAGAGAAACATGTTGTGTCTTCTGAGACTCACACTCAGGGCCTTTGGCATTGCTTTAAAGCATTGATGGCACCCAGTGAATGGGAAATTTAAACCAGGACTATGATTCTGAGAGGGAAGTGATTTAATCCTTCCCATACAGCAGCTTGCCTGGTTTCCTGGTTAAAATTGTCCCCTTAACATAACCACCATTTGCCTTATGGGGAACAAAGAGTCACACAGGAAATTGTAGATTTTGCCGCATGTATTAGAACGGCTGGATGGCTCATTGTTTTAGACATCTGGATGAGGAGCCAGAGGTTGGGACTGTGATTCCCCGCTGTGCCTCCTTGAGAGAGGCTGGACTCCATCATCTATAGGGCCCCTTCCAGCTCTGCAGTTCTAAGATGATGATAAATCTTCCCACTGACACTGCCGTTATCTGAACAGTTAGAAAGGAAATGGGCTACCATTGATGCTTAAAGAATTAAAGGATATTGCATTAACCGATTTCTTCTATCATCATCAAGTTTGAGCTAAAGACCTTTGAAATGAAAGCATAGGTTGATTCAGGTCTTTAAAGATAAAGCAGGATTACTGTAAAATAATTGCCTGAATAAGGTCGTGGTCCATAACTTCAACTAGCATTTCTTTCCTAACCTCTAGTTTTCAGGACAGTTGGGCTGGGAAAAAGAGGCAAGAAGCGCAACAGAAGTGCCTCCTGTTCTTCCATATTTGAAGAACTATCTCATCTGCCTGATGCAGGAATACCTATCACATCTCCCCATGGCATGAGGAGATGACAAAGCTCCTCTTCAGAGGTGAGAAAGGTAAATAGAGAACAGAAAGCAGAGGCCCAATGCTTATCATTACATCCATAATGGATCCCAGATGCAACAGCTCCTTGGAAGCAATGCCTCAACTTAAGTATATTTGTGTTCTGATTCGTGCATTAGAATCAACAAGTGGGATTTCTTGAAACCACCTCTGCAACAACCCATTAAATGATCTGCCATACTCTACAGAATGGCTTATGTCATCTGTTTGCAAGTCCCTACAACCAGCAAACACTTTCAGGAACATCAGTATCTGATTGGGGATCTTCCATATGATCAGATGGATCTGCAAGGTGAGGTTTTCTGTTTATTATGACAATCATTATGCAGATTGCCCCCAGAAGAAGCTTTTTCAAGAGGCAATTATAACATATATTGTATCCAGGGACCCACTACCCTCATCTCAGTCTGTTATTCTTCACTAAGTCAACAACTTTGAAACCATACTTACATAAACTGCTTCACTATTCCAGGGATTACATTCTATTTGATCAACAGAGAACTATCAACATTTTCATTAAAAACTGTGGTCCTAAAAACTGCAGCTCTAAAAACTGCACATATTTTTTAATTAAAATCATGACCATAGCTAGTTTGAACCACTCATATTATTAATCTTTTTAAAATGATTACTCCATTTTGGCAGCTAAATCAGCCAAAAATGCTAGCCAGCTAAATTCTTTCTTTTATTAATCACCTTGGAATTAGCTCAGTAAGATTAGGAAGCATCCATTAATTTGTTTATTCCAGAGTCCAATTACTATACTGAACTCATGATGAAGTATACTGTCTGTGTGTAGTGTATTTAGAGTTCAAAACATTTTTGAGGTAAATACAGATTAAATACAGATAATTTTATTTATATGTTTATTTCTATACTATGCCATTATTGACACCACTCTCTGTGTGGTTTACAATATGCAATAAAAACATAACAACATTGAACTACTGGATAGCTCAGTGGTTTGGGCATCTGGCCACAGAGCCAGAGGTTGGGACTGCGATTCCCCACTGCGCCTCCCTGACAGGGGCTGGATTCAGTCCATGGGGTCCTTTCCAGCTCTGCGGTTCTAAGTCTTAAGATCATATAATAAATACAAAAAATAAAAAATAAAAATAAAATCAACCAAATACAATGAAACCCTGTCACTAACTGAAACTACTTTTAAATAAAAATACACAAGTTAAAACCTATTTCAACATCTCAGGACATGTTTACCGTAGTAGAAGGCAGCTTCATGTAATTCAGCCATGAAACAGAGAGGGATGGTACCTGGAGAAGCTTTGCAGGAAGCTTGTTTCAGAGGAAAGGAGCTATGGCTGAGAAAGCTTGGTTCCTCATGCTGGCTTTTTCGGCCTCCTTAGGTCTTATAGGATGTGGTGGCGCTGCGGGTTAAACTGCAGAAGCCTCTGTGCTGCAAGGTCAGAAGACCAAGCAGTTGTAAGAGCAAATCCACGCGACGGAGTGAACTCCCGTCGCTTGTCCCAGCTCCTGCCAACTTAGCAGTTTGAAAGCATGCAAATGCGAGTAGATAAATAGGTACCACCTCAGTGGGAAGGTGACAGTGTTCCATGTCTAGTCGCGCTGGCCACGTGACCATGGAAACTATCTATGGACAAACGCTGGCTCTACAGCTTGGAAACAGGGATGAACACCACCCCCTAGAGTCGGACACGACTGAACTAAATGTCAAGGGGAACCTTTACCTTTACCTAGGTGTTATAATTCTTAACACCAAGGAATACGAGGAGCATGTGGGACAGGTAGCTATTTTGTGGGAGAGAAGTTCTGCCAAATATTGAGGTCCTACACCATATGGCCAGCTCCTTAAATTGAGCAGATTAATCCCAGAACAACAACAACAGCAACAACAACAACCCCCTTAAATTGAGCAGATTAACCCCAGAACAACAACAACAACAACAACCAGAAGTATAGTGCAATTAAGAAAAGGGATTTGTAGATCTTAATCTGTAGGTGCACTGATTGTTTTATGGCTGTTAGATCTATTGCCCTGAATTCTTTATACAATGTCATTGAGCTCCATGCAGGAAAATGACAGATTTATGAGGCCAACAACCTTACGTTTTGTGTGTCTATCCAGAAATATTTTCCACTAGGAACCTATTCAAGGATTCAAAAAGAAAAAAGTTTTCAAAAAATTTAGCCATTTTCATGGGGAGGACTGCCTGAAAAGAAAAGCTTGTGCTACACAGGGAGGGGGTGGGTCTTGCCATGGCATCAGAGATCTTGAAAAAGTGGGGTTCACGACTGCATGAAGAGGCTCTCTGTGTATCAGACTGTTCCCTCTTCAGACTGTCCTCCTTTATATAAAGATAATGATAGGAAGGGATGTGGCTAGAACTCCCTCCCTGATTGCTTGAATAGGGCTTCAATTAATACCTGGACTCCAAAATTGCAATCCTAAAGCACATTGACCCCAAAGTAGGTCTCATTTAATCTCAATGGCACTGTCATTTCAGTAAACATGCACAGAATGAGGCTGCAAAGCTGCAAATCCAAGTACACTTGTTTGAAAGTTCCATTAAAATAAACCAAATATTCTTCTGAGAAGAATATGATTCATACTGGGCTAAAAGAACCTCACACTCAAACTAAACAAAGCATTTCAATTTCTTTTTTGTTATTCCTCAATAGTAAAGTTTTACTATTTTATTTCCCTGGAACAGACCCTTTGAGACAAATTTGAGAATGCAGGCACTTCAGAGTTAAGATAAGGAGCAGACCAAAATTTTGCATGCAGCCGAAGGCACTGTTTTCTTTCCATCCCCTGTTCTCTTGACTCCTTTTATGTTTCCCTTCATGTTTTAGTTTATGCCACTCTATATAGAACAAGCTCTAAAATCCATATCTGAGCCATGCCAGAACCATAGTTAGGTGGGTGGCCATGGCTACTGCCCACCATGTCAGTCCATGTTTGATTCTTTGATATGGAATCTGGGGTTAGAATCAGGATTCAGGCTTGGTTTTGGGTTGCTGCTCTTATTTTAGTCTTCACAATTTATCCAAAGCTACAGAACAAAAAGATGTAAGAGACTATAAATAAAATGGTTGTTATAAAGGATTTCTTACCGCACACACTCTCCCCACCCTGGAATATATGGCGTGAGCACTTGTTTCTGCCTCTAAAGCTTTCTCAGTGAAGAAGAAATACACTTTATTATCTTCTGGGTCTTCATTGTCGGGAACCATAAAAGAGCTGACAAATTTGGGTTCTTTAACAGATGAAAAAGGAAGGAAGGAAGGGAGAGAAAGAAAGAAAGAATCAAATTTACTAAAGAAATTCAATGATGACACAATAATATTAATCTTAGAAACACAGAGTTGGAAGAGTTGGAAAGGACTATCAAGTCCAGCCCTGTCAAGGAGGCAGAGTGGGGAACTGAACTCTGCAACCAGATGCCTAAACCATTGAGCTGCATGCAGATGTGCAAATTCCTGTGTACAATTAGCTTGCAGAATTTTCACAAGATTAGGAAATTGTCTAAGGCACTGAACAGGACACCTAAAGCAGTCTCTGTAGATGTTTTGAACTATAAATCTCATTAGCCCTCACCAGCATGGCCAGGAAGATGAGAGCTATAGTGTGAAATGTTTGGGGAGATTTTGCTAGCCTACCCCTAGATTGGGCTTCTAGGTAACTGAGAATTTTGTCTGAGCCATTAAAAAAAACCAAGAACTCAATTTTTAAGTAAATAGATGTGGGGGGAAAGTATGACTCATAAAATCATTCAAACAGGGTTTTCAAGTGTTGGAGTTTTCATGGTTGGTCTTTGAATTCATGTTTGTGACTCTGAATTAGAGTTACCACTTCTCCCCTCTGTCTTGGGAATAGCTGGACCCACTGAATTTGGCCAGTGCAGATGGTTGATAATTTTGTTTCATTTTTGATAAGAATTCAGTTTCCAACTAAGCATGCTGATGAACTGACAGGATGTCTTGATGAAGTGCAGTTGACAAAATTCATCTCTGTGAATTACTGGGTCAGTTTTATGAATTTTAAATTAAATCCTGTTTCCCTAAAGTCCTACCTTAAGTACAAATATGCATATGCTCATTATATAAATCTTCTAGGAAACAGAAAGAGAACTGCATAGCATTATATGCACTAAGCAAAAACTAAGATCTTTGGGGAGACATGCAAACAAACTTTAGAAACTGTGTCATGTGAGTGAATCTTCTCTGAACATATGGAGAAGATCAGCTTTCAAAATATTTGTGTAGCTCCAACTTACACATCAATAGTGTGTGTGTGTGCATATGTGTACACACCCAAAAAAGAACACCTCTTTCCAATCTTACTCTCTGGGGTTCACTTATTTTAATTTATTTTAGCCTGAATCTTGGCATGGAACTAATGGAACCATCTGCAGCTCTATCCAAAATAGGATTCAAAGCCATTGGGCTTGATTCATTTTGCAACATGAGACAGAGCTAGATGCTGAGAGCTAGATGTTGTGCACAGGTTAGCAGCATTTTGACACTTTGGTATCAAATCAGAACCATTTGAAAGCTTCAGTTTGGCTACGATAAACCAGAACTTGAGGTTTATCCCTGAGATTGCTATGAACTGACTGTTCCTCAATGAATTATGGAGAATGATGACTGTTTGTTGTTATTGATTGTTGTTATTATTATCTATGGTGCTAGTTTATCCCTGAGATTGCTATGAATTGACTGTTCTTCAATGATTTATGGAGAATGATGACTTTGATTGTTGTTATTATTATCTATGGTGCTGGGGCTCTAGTAGGAGAGGTGTTGTGCACATTTCTGTTCTCTCCTAGGCCATGTGAGAAAAATAATGTGATCCATGCATTACACATGTGTATTCATGTACAAATCAGCTTAACTTGTTTGACTTCCTGATCCTGCCTTCTCAGCAAAGAATCATACGATTCATGCCATACAGAATGCAGTGGCACTTGCATGGACCAATATACAAAATCCAGATGTCCGAGACTGTGTAAATGTTTGGGGTCTCTGGATCCTGGCATTAGGCAGGGGAGGAGAAAGGCATGAAAATGTAACCACATGTTGACCTTAAAACTCCTTATGTCTCCATCCTGTCACCAGTTGGGATGAGGAAGAAGTGCTGTTCATTTGTGCATCAGGTATGATTTGCTGATGATCATGACTGTGTCTGAAAGATCTCTGGTTTTGCCTAGTGAAATCTTATCCAAGACCTAGTCAAACCTCACCCTAAGCTTCCAAAATCAGAGGAGAGCAATTGCGAGGGTATGTATGTAATATTCTGCTTGGAAAATGTTTCCAAGTGTCATCAAAGACAGCAAGTGCTTAAATGTGGCTCTCCAATGTAGGATGAGCACATCGTGTTGATACAGCATTTTTAACTTCACATCATATATCCTCTAACAAGGCAAATATAAGAACATTGTTTTTTCTGAAAATTTCCTATGGAGCCCTTGGTACCTTTCAGTAGACGGTCATCATCTGGTTCAGTCCGGATGTGTGTCAGCCGGCCCATTGTGCGGAAGACCGCGGCATCTCTCCCCCAGTAGTCACTGTAGAGCCCAGCAAACAATGCTCCACCTGAAAGCCAGACACATCGATACTAAGTATATAAGACTGCCATGTTTGTGCATTGTTCTCTGGCTCAGACAACTTGTATCTTTATAATTAGATCTATTTTTCATTCAGACTAATTGAATTAAATGGGTACAGGCATCCCTGCCATCTACCACTTGTGCCACTAACCTTCACACAACACTTCCCCCAATAAAAAGCTTTTCCTGTGTGCAGAAACCTAGTGCATCAGGAAGAAAGGTTTTATTGAGGCTTCTCCATAACAGGATTTATTGCCCTCTATTGGGAGATATATCTCTTTCCATAGGCAGCATTCCGACCTCAACCTGAAGCCAAAAGAGTTATATTCCAGAAACATCTTTGCCCACTGGTTTCTATTCTATGTATAAACCTGGCTTAAAACATGGAAATGACTCATAGTGAAGGACTAAACTTACATTATGAATGGACACAGGATTGGGATGCAAAATATAAACCACCAATGAAATAAGTTAGAGGCAAATTAAAGTAGCAAACTACCCTTGCTCTATTTAAGAAGGGATTTTGCATTGCCATCTGCTTTTCCACATACAGTATATCACAGAAGTGAGTACACCCCCTCACATTTCATAAATATTTTAATATATCTTTTCATGTGAGAACACTGTCTTATGGAGCGAAAAATACGGTAAGTTACAGGCAAATTAAAGTAGCAAGCTACCCTTGCTCTATTTAATAAGGGATTTTGCATTGCCATCTGCTTTTTCACATACAGTATATCACAGAAGTGAGTACACCCCCTCACATTTCATAAATATTTTAATATATCTTTTCATGTGAGAACACTGAAGAAATGACACTTGGCTACAATGTAAAGCTGTGAGTATACAGCTTGTATAACAGTGCAAATGTGCCGTTCCCTCAAAATAACGCAACACACAGTCATTAATGTCTAAACTGCTGGCAACAAAAGTGAGTACACCCGTAAGTGACAATGTCCAAATGGGGCCCAAGTAGCTGTTTTCCTTCCTTGGCATCATGAGACCTGTTAGTGTCACAAGTCTCAGGTGTGAAGGAGGAGCAGGTGTTATCTCTCTCACTCTCTCAGACTGGTCACTGGATGTTCCACATGGCACCTTATGGTAATGAACTATCAGAGGATCAGAAAAAAATGAATTTTTGTTCTACATAAACATGGCCTAGGCTATAAGAAGATTGCCCAAATCCTGAAAGTGAGCTGCAACACGGTTGCCAAGATCATATAGCGGTTTAACAGGACAAGTTCCACTCAGAACAGGCCTCGTCATGGTTGACCCAAGAAGTTGAGTGCCCGTGCTCAGCGTCATATTCGTTGGCTTTGGGCACCAGCTGTACAAGTGCTGCCAGCATTGCTGCAGAGGTTGAAGGGGTAGGGGATCAGCCTGTCAGTGCTTAGACCATACATCACACACTGCATCAAACTGGTCTCCAGGGCTGTTGTCCCAGAAGGAAGCCTCTTCTAAAGATGATGCACAAGAAAGCCCGCATATGGTTTGCTGCAGACAAACAGACTAAGGATATGAATTTCTGGGACCATGTCCTGTGGTTCAATGAGACCAAGATAAACTTATTTGGTTCAGATGGTGTCAAGGGTGTGTGGTGGCAACCAGGTGAGGAGTATAAAGACAAGTGTGTTGTGCCTACAGTCAAGCATGGTAGTGAGAGTCTCATGGTCTGGGGCTGCATAAGTGCTGCTGGCACTGGGGAGCTACAGTTCATTGAGGGAACCATGAATGCCAACATGTACTGTGACACACTGAAGCAGAGCATGATCCCCTCCCTTTGAAGACTGGGCCACAGGGCAGTATTCCAACATGATAACAACTCCAAATACACCTCCATAATGACCACTACCTTGCTAAGGAAGCTGAAGGTAAAGGTGATGGACTGGCCAAGCATGTCTCCAGACCCAAACCCTATTGAGCATCTATGGGGCCTATGCCCAAGAGGATTGTAAGGCAGTGCTGGAAAATAATGGTGGCCACACAAAATATTGACACTTTGTGCCTAATTTGGACATTGTCAGGGGTGTACTCCTGTTGCCAGCGGTTTAGACATTAATGGCTGTGTGTTGTGTTATTTTGAGGAGATAGCACATTTACACTGTTATACAAGCTGTATATTCACTGCTTCACATTGTAGCCAAGTATAATTTCTTCAGTGTTGTCACATGAAAAGATATACTAAAATATTTATGAAATGTAAAGGGGTGTACTCACTTCTGTGATAAACGGTATCTTACATGTATTTGCCACTAGATGGCAATCCCATTCCACAAAAGAGAAAGCAAGTTTTACTTGACAAAAAGGACAGAAAAAAACCCCCACTCCCTTTGGAAATGAAATTCTTAGGGTACTGTTCTTTTAATAAAGCCTTTTGGCTTTATTCTTTCCTGTAAGCAAAAGGAACGTGTACTCACTTCTGTGATAAACGGTATCTTACATGTATTTGCCACTAGATGGCAATCCCATTCCACAAAAGAGAAAGCAAGTTTTACTTGACAAAAAGGACAGAAAAAAACCCCCACTCCCTTTGGAAATGAAATTCTTAGGGTACTGTTCTTTTAATAAAGCCTTTTGGCTTTATTCTTTCCTGTAAGCAAAAGGAACGTATTTGACAAATATCACTATCACTGGTAAAATACTTCATGACCACTCATCATCGTCATCATGTTGATATGATCTGAAATGCCAGAAACTTTTGCTGGCAATTTTTTTTTTCAGAAGTGTAGATTTTCTTTCTGCTTAAGTGACATATTTGAATTAACAGTCTTATAACTCTGAATAACAATTGTCAGTAGTTTACAGAAGTGCAGCAGCTCTGGCAAGCTTCATTGGTTCTTGCCAGCCAACATGGAATTTTGCCTTAGGCTTTGACTAATAGAGAATGGCATTGCTTTGAAAACCCTGGCAAAGAAACAGAAATAATGTACTAGCAAATGAAAATTAACAGTAAACAAACTACAGCAGAGCTTTCAAAAACAACCCTAAAATCCAACATTTGGGAAGGCATGAAAACTGGGGAGTCTCCAAATGCCAAATGATTACAAAGCATCATTCCCTCTCTTTCTTAATTCGAACAATTAGGGGGAGTGCCCTTACGTACATAGCCAGAGCAGGCCACCCAAACCTAGAACGAAGGTATCAGCATGATCGGAGGGAAACTGAGATTTGCTGAAGTAGATAAATCCAAAGAAAAACAGGATTTGTGGAGCCACATGGAAGAAAGAAGGAGAAAAGAAACAGGGAGATAACTCTTGAACTGTTCCTCTTCAGGCCTTCCGTTGCTAGATAGTTGCTAGATAGTCATCCTCCTTGAAGGAGGACAGTTTGAAACCATGGGTTAGTCGGCTGACATTATGGGATAGGTCCTTGCTTGAATTAACTAATCTTAACTCATAGTTTGCTCTGTTTATTATGCAATCCACAAATGTTTTAAAAAGATTTCCATTCAACGAAACATTCGACCTGATCATAAAAAGGGAGAAACTCAGTTCATGCCAAAGTTATAACCGACCATTTTGACACCAAAGGCAAGTGCCATTGTCTCCAACTCATTCCAAGCTCACGTGCAGAAAATGGAGAAGGAAAATGTGGTTCCCCCCTCCCTCCACATAAGAAAGAAAAAGTGTATGGTTTCAGAAACAGGGAAGTGAGGAGGGCTTCATGATGATGGGATTTATTTTCCTAACATCCACCAGTTACTTCATCTCAATTTGTGTGCCCTCTAAATGTTGATGCTTGTGAGGGAACTGCTATGTGTGCCTTGAGTGGGCCATTTGCTCTTCTCCCAGACACCCTTGAAAAGCTGGATGGAGCCGTTGCTCTTGGAAAGAGGGAGGGGGAGGCATAGGCGTATATAGGGAGGGAAGTGATCAGTGGCACCTGGGACCACATGAGGCAAATGTGGGGTTAAAGGTGGCCCAGGAGGAAGGCTGGGATTTTTCTTCAGGATGGAGCATGCCTGGTGAGGGGTCAGAAGAGAAGGAAGAGACCTCTTGTAGTGGAACTGACCTGACAACTGAAGGGCAATCCCTTGGCACAAGCTGGAGATGAGGGACTACATCCACTTCAGCTCCCGAGCCCAGTGTGCTCATGTTGAGAGGCAGGGGCTGGGGAAGAGGAGTGGAGCTCACGCCAATGCCACATCTGGTTCCTGTGTCCACAGCTGCCTGGCAGTAGGATCTGTGGCACTCACCCCTGCACAGAGGGACTGACTGGTATGGAGAAGGAAGAGGCAAAAGAAGAGTGAGAGGCCAACCCTCACTTACAGCCAGCTGCCTCTAATGACTCTCATTAAAAGGCTCTAAGTTTGGGCCTGGACTGGGCTTGTATATTAAGAAGACTTCACTAGCCTCATTGATGGGAACTGAGGCCAGTATTGAACTGACTGCTGCCAATGGGCAAGTATCAGGAACTGGGGTATGGGAGGTCAAGGATGGGAAATTGTTCTTGAAAACACCTTATGTGACATGTATGTGCATACACCTGCAGTCTCACATTGTGCTAGCTATTGCTTGCAATTAAAAGAAAATTGAATTCATCATTTCGTAAAACATCATTACAGTCATACACCAACAGTCAAACATAAAGAATTCTGTCCCACAGTCTTGGACCATTTGAATGAAAGTTGGCAGCAATAGTGAACTCAGCTATTAAGGTATGACAGCCGTGGAGCCAATATATGGCCAATGGAAATGAAGGAAATGTAGGTGGGTTTGAGTAAACCTTAGATTTCACTGAAGCAGACAAAATATTGAGGGTGATGGTGGATTGAAAGGCAAAACTCTTCTCACAAAATAGCTGAATGAAGACTAATCTTGCTCATGAATGCTGAAGTGCCCTTGTATACATTTGGGCCAACAGGGATCAAACAAAAAACTAGGGGTAGGACAATCAAATGGATTATCCTGAGACAAAACATGTTCTATGCCAGTACCTCATGTCAGTGATGTGGGTTTTTAAAAAACAATAAAGAGTGCAGGGACA